GCAAAAGAACTATCAGGTAGAAGGATCTATCTATGTAAGATTTAATGATGGATTAAAGATTTATAGAAAACTATCAGATCTAGAAGAAGACCTTGCAAATTGGAAGAAATCAGACAAAAGAACTAAATGCTACAAATCAGATGATAAACTCTCTTGAAGGAAAGACAAATCAGTCGGACGAATCCACCAAACCTTTTTTAGACTAAAAGTTCATTAACTATCATCCTTAAGATCAAATCTTAGGAGATAAAATTGAAGGCATCAAGACCAGGTCTACTCTTAGAGATAATGATTCATGTGCTCTGGTTTTTGAAATATAATAAAAAAAACATAGACAGAGCATTAAGAGATGATGATTTTGAGATTCATGGATTGTGAATCAAGTTTCTAAAGTGTTTTGATGATAACAAAGATGTAGTTTGAAGTTCATGAATGAATATCAAATGTAATAGGAGTAGTTTGTCTGTTGTGTTGCTTAGTTATTCAATTATGTAATCCAATGCATGTTTATGTTTGTTTATGCTTTGTGCATGAGTCAAATCTTATTCCTAAATGTCTTAGAAGTAGTATGATGATGATTATAGATGATTTGATAAGTTTTTCTTACTTGATTCTTTCTTGTTTTAATTTTGGCCTTTTTGTTTTTGGCCTTTACTTTCTTTCATTTTGGGTTGTAAGTTTTAAACCTCTTCAATTTGGTGGTAGTGTCGTGTAGTTAGAAGGTGATTTGAAAACCTTCACCTAGGACTTCGACTAGAGTATGTTTTAAATGTTTTCCTTGTTGCATGTTTTAAAGCTTTTGAGAATAATGGCCGTGATTTCTCTGTGCCTTAGTATTGCGCGTCATTCTAGAGCTCAAAGCTCGACAATGAAGGCACCTTAGTGTTGGTCCCTACGGTTAGAATCTAGAAGGGGGGGTTGAATAGATTCTATGTTAGTTTTCTATTTCAAAAACCAGAGCACATGAATCATTATCTCTAAGAGTAGACCTGGTCTTGATGCCTTCAATTTTATCTCCTAAGATTTGATCTTAAGGATGATAGTTAATGAACTTTTAGTCTAAAAAAGGTTTGGTGGATTCGTCCGACTGATTTGTCTTTCCTTCAAGAGAGTTTATCATCTGATTTGTAGCATTTAGTTCTTTTGTCTGATTTCTTCCAATTTGCAAGGTCTTCTTCTAGATCTGATAGTTTTCTATAAATCTTTAATCCATCATTAAATCTTACATAGATAGATCCTTCTACCTGATAGTTCTTTTGCTCCATTTGACCTTGTATTAAGGGTCATTGATTTTTTATATTTTTAGTAGTAGATATGGGTGACAAATAGTAAGGTATGTAGGTGTAACTAGTAATTGGGCTAGAGGTGGGCCTAGGCTAAATTTTACATATTGGGCTTGTTTTCCTCCATTTTTTCTAAGGAATGGATTTAGCTAGGTCTCACCATCATTTGGTGAACCTAACTAAACCAATTTCAAGATTTTTGGATTGGACTAAGTGAAGGAAATCACCCTTGGCTGCCTAGCTCATCTCCTTGGCCGAAATTGTTGGCTTCCTCTACACACTTGGATAACTTGTGCTACAAGCTTCTAACTTAACTTGCTCCCCAAGCTTCTAAGTTAGCAGATTGTTCCACAAGACCCCTAGATAACTAGACCGATTAGCTTGAGTGCAAGAAGGCTAACCATGGTTCTCCTAGAACCATAGTTAGTCTAGCTTGCACCACAAGCCACTCCCGCACTATATAAGCCTTTCTCTTCACTTTGTAAACATTTTTGAAGCATATGTTGAGAGAATTCCGAAAATTGTTCAAATTTTCTCTCTTCCAAAAGTCTCAACCTCTTTGATTTTAATTCATTTCTCTTATCCTCTTCATACAAGAGTGTGGTGAGATTCGAAATGGCTAATCTTCCTCCAAGGAGTGGCGCCACTTGAGAATGTTCTTCACCGTTGAAGGTGAAATCTGAATCTTCTTCCTCCATTAGAAGCTTTGGAGAAGCTTATGGAAAACCAAGGAACCAAAGGTCTAGGGAGAAGCTTGAAGAGGAATCAACATCAATCCGGTTCCAAAGCAAGTCAAGTGAGGGGTATTGATACTAAGGTGGGTTTGAGAATGGATGTGCCCACTAGATGGAATTCCACTTATGTTATGCTTGATAGTGCAATTAAATACAAACGTGCATTTGGTTGTTTGGCTATTCGAGATAGGAATTATGTTCATTGCCCATCAGATGATGAGTGGAATAGGGCTGCAAGAATGTGCGAGTTCTTGAAGCCTTTTTTTGTCATGACAAATTTGATATCAG